TTCTTTAGGTAGGTAGGTAGGTAGGTAGGTGGGGGGGGGGAGAGAGAGAGAGAGAGAGAGAGAGAGAGATGATAAACACACACACAGAGTGTTAATATTCTATTTAAGAGAATTGACTCAATCTTTGTCACCACAGAGAAATGCCTGAATGTTTCCTGGGTTAGATTTTCAAGCAGCAGTAGATTTTCAAGTAATAATCCCATGTTATTGATTAAAGTTTTCTGTACTTCAAGTACTTTAAAAGCACTGAACATTTTAAATATAAGAATAAAGGGACTATATTTTATAAATTTGGTGATTCTAATCCTAAAATAGTTTTTCTATCCTGTTTGGAAAAAAAGAGCTATGAGTATGCCATTACTTTAGGGAACATCATGATGGCTAAGCACAGAAAGATGTAGATGGAGAATTCTGAATCTTTACAAGGGAAAGGAAAGACTATTGAGAGACTAATATTTTACATTTGCTTCAGATCTAAGGGCCACTTCACATATTAAATGTTATCTTGTGCCTTGAGTCAGGTAAAGTGTTTTTAGATGCTGCTAAAACTGCAAAATCATGAATGGTATTTTGAAAGGAAGCCAGTAGAAGTCTTTAAGATTCTGCCTATCTCTGGCTTCTACATTCAGGGCTGCAAATTCTTGATTTAAACTCAAACCAAAATGCTGAATCACATTGAAACAAATATAATACAAATAGTAAGAATCAGTCACAAAAATCAAGTTCCTTCCTACCAATACCAAAATTGCATTGACTTCTGCAGTGTAGCAGAAGATTGAAAAGTTGGTAGGTCTGGCTTTCTTGTCTGAAACTAGCAACTGAAGAAATTTGCTTTCTCAGTCCCCAAATGTGATGTGCTGTAGTCCACAAACTGACATTCACTAACATTTAGTGTTATTGATTGCTTGGCATATGTGCTTAGATGTGCTGTTTGTGTCAACTGAAATGGTTGCTAGTGAGTAATTTTTCTGATGCTTATTTTATCCTTATATTCTAAATTCTAAGAAAAGTAATAAATTATAACTAGAAACAGGAACTATTTAGTAGATGGGATGCTAGGTTTAAGGTGACTGATATTTCTTCGAATACTAACTCGTATACTAGCTGGTCATTCTGCATTAGAAACACAACCCTTCTAATATTTGTCTTGTTTTTCTGTGATAACATTGCATATTCTGCAACACTGCATTGATGGGATTGCTATTCCCTGCTACTTGCTTGTCCCATGCCCCACCAGTCTCATGGATATCAGGCATAAAGCTAGAATTACAGTTTATTCTACCCTAAATAATTATTTACGACTTTGTAGAAATGTGTGTAGAAATATTTTCAAGAAATGTCTTGCCACACACTAATCCATAATAAAATGTGAGTAGCAATGTGCTTGTCAAAAGGAAATTCATGTGGTATGCAAATAACAGTGCTTCTTGAACTCTGTATTGTCTCGCTTTCTCTATTTCACTTTCTGCCTGTCCTTTTGTCTGCTGTTATAATCCAGGATCCAGATCAGCTAACCCTGCGGGTGGTAAGAAACACCTTTTTGTTTTTCACTCTGTTTCCATGTCTGTGCTGTCTTTCATGCTACTGTTTTTAACTGTTTCAATGTCTGAAAACCTTGTATTCCCAGAGATTTGAAAAACAAGTGCTTTTAAAATGAAAGTTCAGCCATGAAATCCTTTAGGTATATACATAATGTACTTAGACAAAGGACCTATGTGTAAGTTCAGTGAGCAGTGGGACTCATTCCTAGGTGACAGGGTGTTAGGACTGTAAATTTTAAGAACAGAAACATGTTTTGATGAAGTCTTCAGATGTTTATAGAGATGTCAGTTAACAGCAGCAGGGACAAGCCTGACATGCTATTTTTGAAACTGTAGAGAATTTCAAAAGGTAGGCTCTGATAAAGCACACAAATTGTCTGAAAATTGACAAAGGGATAAAATCCACTGGGTGACTACAAGTATTAGCATAATTTTTTGGATTTGAACCCCTATTTTTTGGCAACGCTCAGTCAGTTTTGTGGTTGAAGATAAAAGAAGTGTGATTTAAGAAAGTGTCCATGCAGCAAGATGCATGAGAAAAATAAAGAATGGGACAAAGAAATGGTGTGTGTGTGTGTGTGTGTGTGTGTGTGTGTGTGTGTGTGTGTGTGAGACAGAGAGAGAGAGAGAGAGAATAAGTTCATCAGTTGCTTCTGTATAAAGTGTGGCTTGTTGGTATGATCATCAGTTGCTGATAATATTTGATCATTTTTAAGGTGAGTAGTATCATTCAAGATTGTGATTCTGTTCATTCAGTTATCACCCTCAAAGCGTTTTATTGTTAATCTACGTTGTTAATCCCCTTTTTAACATATAATCATCTTGAGGAATTTCTGTATCCTGTTTTATTTTTAATTTACTATTAATTGAACTGAATTTTTAGTCAGTTTAGTAAGTTCGATGGTTTGAAATACTCTGAAGGCTTGAGAGCATTTATTTGTTGCTTCTTTCTAGCTGGTAGTCGATCCAGCTCTCCTGGCAAGTTGTTGGGAAGTGCATATGGTGGGCTTAACAGTGGAACAACCAGAGGACACCCAGTGCCAACACCATCCTCATCTTCTGACAAACGTAGTAAAGTCCCTCGAAGCCAAGGCTGCAGCCGAGAGACCAGCCCCAGCAGGATAGCTCTAGGTAAGAGTTTCCTTAGCTGCAATATAGAGCCAGGAGACTGATTTGTTTTCTAATGCTGATTGGCCAAAGGAATTCCTGAAATAAATTATGATTTTGCTACAGTGATTTCATAGTTATGGTTTTCTGCTGAGTTTTTTAATAGCATGATAGGCAAAGAGAACAGCAGGGCTTAGATAAAGTTGCCAGTGGGATTAGCATAAATTGCCTGTGTTTATACTGATGATTTTAATTAGAAAATAGCCCTTCCTTCAAATATGTATTATTTCCGCTTTCACTTGCATGGTTCAGTGCCATTCTATGATACCAAATATGTTGTCCTACATGTATAGTACAGGCTTCTCCTCCTATACCCTCTCTTTGAGTGATAGATATGCTGCTCTGTTTTTGTCTCTGATCAAAAATTACACCTATTACTTTCAGGTTAAGTACTGAACTTCGTAGGGTTATTTTCTAATGAACTTGTTAGTACCACTATATGTACTATGGCTGAATTTCAAGAACTGTTCTATCATCAAATATATTAATTATATACAAATGCCCACCTGCACGTTACCAATATAATATGGTAGCCTTGGCAAATCTTATTGTAGAGGTTGAAAATAGGATGTGAAATTGAGATATACCAATGCAGATTTGGAACTGGGAGCTCCTGATAAGCAAGCAAGACAAGACTAAATATAGCAGCTTTAAAATCTGTTCTCCCAGTTTCAGGAAACAAGAGGTGGAAGGGCATGCAGAGGGTGGGGGAATGGGACAGAGAAGGGCTTTGAAGCTTGCATCAGAGAAGGAAAATGAGAACAATCTCACAGACATTTGCACAAATAGGCAAGGCAGAATGCAGGGAGAAGAAAATAAGACAGACGAGTCATAGATATGCTTAAGATCAATAGATTTAGCACCTAACTTGGCCAGTGAGGTCATTAGAAAAGGTTTGGCTATAGACTTTGTGGTTAACCAAGAAGTTTTCAACCTTTGTGGTACTACATCCCCTATAATAATAAATTTCTGTGATCCCAACCCCATGAATAACATTAATGATTTCACTGTGTATAGAGTATGGCAAGAAATAAATATATTGCTTACTTTTAATAATTAAATGTTAGTCTGTGTAGCACAAAATTTCTCAGATCTATGACATCTCAACCATTCACCGCAGGCAAAGTGGGAGCAAAGCATGGAGTTAGTTTTGACAGTGCAGGCCTGGCTTGCACAAGCAAATCATGAAGCAATGCCTAGAGCAAGTTCTGACAACTCTCCTGCTTTGCCTGCCTTGTCAAAACATACAGACAAAGCAAGGAGCAAAGCCCAAAGTAAGTTTTGATGATGCTTCTGTTTTGTTGGGGCAAGTCTGATTGGGTGTTTGTTTGTTTTTTTAAATATTGAACTCTCTCTAAATTTCTCATAACACTGTTGGACATCATGATTGACCCAGGAAAACTATATTTCCAGTGAACCAGAATATGTGTAATTTTATCTGTAATTAACATGTGACTCTGAAATATAGAGAAACATTTTTACTTGGAAAGAAATAATACTTGCAACAGGAAGTATATTTAAATACAAACTGAGATAATTTTTCCCTTTGGTTAGTATGAAGCAGAGCTTATTGGCCAGGTTAAGGTCTTATTTAAAGGACATTTTTTAAAAAAATGTATACAAGCAGTTGTACCCCACATATGAAAATAAATATATGCTCTTCCATAGACCATCTTCTCTAAAATCATTTTGATTTACATTTATATTTACTTATAATGGCTAACCTAGAACAATCTCTGGGAGAGGCATTTCTATTTTTATGCTGCTCATGTTTTCCGTGAATAATTCATATATGTCTGCTCATATGTAACATAGATTGGCATTCTTTATCTATTGTGAACAAGCAGCTTTTGTTCCTCTGTACATGTGATCAAGTAATATCAAATAACAAAGGATAGCTTATTGTGGTCCTTGAAGTTGGAATGTGATCTGTTCCTTCCAGGGGAGTCAGAACTGTGAGCCAAAACCAAAACATTATTCGGAGCTGTTTACTAACTTGATTTGTTTGGTAGCAGTAAAGCAGGACCTCAGACTCAGACAACATGCGTTACTGTTCCTTCCTAGTTAATTTTTTCCCACCTCCATGAAGAGAGGAACAAAGCAAGAACAAACAAGCTATATATTTCAACCATGTTGCTGTTTTATAGTTAGCCAAGATAAACCTGGAACCCTATGTAGAAACATTTATTTATTTATTGTAATAATGTATATGTGGTCTACTTGTCAGACTCTGATAGCACATGATATGAAAACCCCAAGGCATGGAGGTTAAAAAAGTATATAAGCTGGTGAGAGATCACCACCAACGCAAGAACAAACAAGCTATACATTTCAACCATGTTGCTGTTTTATAGTTAGCCAAGATAAACCTGGAACCCTATGTAGAAACATTTATTTATTTATTGTAATAATGGCAAGAACAAACAAGCTATACATTTCAACCATGTTGCTGTTTTATAGTTAGCCAAGATAAACCTGGAACCCTATGTAGAAACATTTATTTATTTATTGTAATAATGTATATGTGGTCTACTTGTCAGACTCTGATAGCACATGATATGAAAACCCCAAGGCATGGAGGTTAAAAAAGTATATAAGCTGGTGAGAGATCACCACCAACCCAACAATTAAATTCAGAAGCTTTGAAAGGAAGCTGGCTGAGAAATAAGAGGGGGCATTGTACTATTTTTAAAAAACCAATTTGTCCTTGGTTTCCAATTTCACATTCAGGACTTTTCTTCCAGCCACATGGGGAACAGCATACCTGGTCACCACCTAGGTTCTTGTGGAATGTTAACACTATCCTTCCTACCCTGCCTTGGAGTCATGGCTAGTATCGGTCTGTAAGCTAGCTGCAGATTTTGAATAGAGGCACTCCTCAGTCCTTGCCCAGCCAGATCTCAGTGATATATAACTGATTTCCACCAACAAGTCATGGAGGTGCAAATGGACCTGATACTGAACAACATGGCTTGACTCTAAAATTTTCTACTCCACACTCATACTTACACTCTTACTCAGGCACAAACAGAGGGGACTTTGTATATTTCTTATTTTACTTCTGATTCCTTATTCAACATTATAACAGCAGTGTATGATAAATACTGTCCCATCTCTGTTAAAATTCTAAGAACTTAATGGTACAGTCAACTGGTTTTTCATTTATCAGTTATCATGCAGCTTCATCTTATAGTTCATTGGTCCATTAAAGGGTGAATTAATTAATGGGGATAGATTTATGAAAGTGAATTAAACATCAGTTTGTACAGTATTCAAACCATACTTCTTATTCTTTATGAAGGGCTCCATCCCACTGTATATAACTGCTTTCAGGCAGGAACATGAATGGATACTAGGAGTATTCATTATTATTTAAAAGCAAGTGCTGCCTAAAAGATTATGCCTCTTTTCCAGGTTTAAAATGCCATTTAAAATTCCAGCCTTTTAAAATGCCTTTTTAATTTTTTAAAATATTTATGTATGCACCATCATTAGAGCCTATTGAACAATCCAGAGTGGATTCATGCCTTGAGGAGCTTGCAGTCTAAAATTTTTGACAGGGGATAGGAAAAATATTGGAAGGAGTGAGGAGAGCCAGAAAAACTAAATGGGGATAAAAGTTGTTATAAAACAATTTTCTCTGTGTGTGTGCTGATGTGGATTAGTAATTTGCATGGGAAAATTCAACATGTATTTTTAAATGAAAAACATGCTTGTTGATCCCAAGAAGCTGGTTTTGACTGTCTTTCTTAGAGACAGCACCTCTAAGGATGGATATCTCGGGCCGGTTATGGCTGAGATAGAGAAGAAGGAGAATTTAAAGTGGCCATAATACTGTGGACTAAAGAGAAATATAAAATAAATCGAATAGTATGTTTGTTTTGACATTCTGCATAGTTAAATATCCTATTTATCTCCTTTGTCATCTAATTATTATGATGAATTTGTGTAAAAATTACATAAATATGTTCTTTCTTTAGAGTTGCATTGCTGATTCCCTATTAGAATCATTTAACTGTCCCTTTAAAATAGAGACCATTTTTCTTTCCTGATATTTTCTCTCTCCTCCTTCCCTCTTTCCCTCCTTCTTAAGTGGAATCTAAGTAATTTGGATATTATTATAACCCTGTTTTCCCAAAAAAGCTTTTCTAGCCTGTGGTGAATAGAACAAGCCTCTCAGTTATTCTTGTGCAACTTCAGCATGTATCACACTTTTATTTGTAACAAGCCAGATTGGCAGCTATCCAGGATATTTGCTAATGTCAGTAATGACCAAAACTGTTACTTTTTTGTCTGAGCATTGTGTCCTTGTGTTCACCTTCTCTGAAACTCTCCATGCTGCATGCTAGCACGGAGCAGCCGTATCCCCCGACCCAGCGTGAGTCAGGGGTGCAGCCGCGATACCAGCCGTGAGAGCAGCCGAGATACAAGCCCTGCTCGGGGCTTTCCTCCACTTGGTGAGTACCTGTAGGCACTAGAGCTTCTAAGGGCCACCCCTCCTCTTTCTTGC